GAGCGTTGTCCACTCAGCCGTCAGGCTTCCTTAAAGCCCCTTCCCCTTTCTCAAAAAAAATGGGAAACTATTATATATTTTATATATTTCACACTGTTAGGCTCTTCCCACCACCTGACCACCCAAATGCTAAAGGAAAACTGTTATATTATTTTTTATAAAAGAGAGAGCCGGTCGGCCGAGCGGACAGCACGCTGGACTTGTGATCCTGTGGTCCCGGGTTCAATCCCGGGCGCCGGCGAGAAACAATGGGCAGAGTTTCTTTCACCCTATGCCCCTGTTACCTAGCAGTAAAATAGGTACCTGGGTGTTAGTCAGCTGTCACGGGCTGCTTCCTGGGGGTGGAGGCCTGGTCGAGGACCGGGCCGCGGGGACACTAAAGCCCCGAAATCATCTCAAGATAACCTCAAGAGAGAGAGAGAGAGAGAGAGAGAGAGAGAGAGAGAGAGAGAGAGAGAGAGAGAGAGAGAGAGAGAGAGAGAGAGAGAGAGAGAGAGAGAGAGAGAGAGAGAGAGAGAGAGAGAGAGAGAGAGAAAGAGAGAGAGAGAGAGAGCGTTTAAAAGACCCGGGCAACGCTGGGTATCCCCGTAGTATTATATATAATACATATTACAATCAAGAACCTGATTCTGAACTCGAGCAAACTCTTCGGGAATCACTCTGTAATCAAGAGACTAATATTGAAAATTCAGGTGTTGCTATGGTGACAGGTGAGGCAATAAATATCATCCTCCGCAGACAAAAACCCGTATTATCGTAACATATGCACTGAGAACTATAAACAAAAATGTCTTCAATTTGCAATTGAACAATTTCCACAACGTTGTACTTTGTAATCAAACTCAAACACTTAATGGAAAAAGATTATTTAAATTGCTAATTTGAATACTGACTCGTTACACCTAATATAAGGCGCGAACTAACCCCTCCAGATAAACTTTTAATATCTTGCTGTGTCCGAAGAGTTAATAAAAATCATCGCCATCCCTTAAATTACCTTCCAAAGTGTTACAAATGAGCCAATTACTTATCCAGTGAACTGCCTCGTGTTTATAACCTCCTGCGCCTGCTTGGGATTTATGCTCTCACTCGCCCTCTCGCTTGCCAGGTGACTTAAATTGGATTGTTGATTCGTACAGAAGAGAGTTCTTACCAAGCATGCAAAGCAAACTCAAATGTTTTACTTAGAAAAAGTATCTAAAGTTAAACACATTAAATTGTGTTAGATGTTGTTTATCTTATCAAATTGTGATTGTATTTACAATTCTTTGACGCAATTGCGAATCCTATATTTAACTGAAATTAAATATAACTATTTCAGTTAACATGGAAACCTGACTGATTTTTGTTTTGTCTAAGATGCAGACAGGCGAACGAACCTTCATACGTTAGAAAAAATATATGAAACGGTGCTTTTGCAGCAACCCGTCCTCATACTAAATACATAACAGTTGTAAGCTAGGGATAAACAGCCTACAAAAAAATAGTAAGGCCACTTTTACTCTGATGGTAAGGTGATTACCTCTTGATAAGTGATGTATTCTACAGTAAGTGGTACCCCTTGCTATGCTTCAACCCACAGAATGACACGATCTGATTGATTGATGAAGATTAAGCCACCCAAAAGGTGGCACGGGCATGAATAGCCCGTGAGTGGTGGCCCTTTTGAGCCATTGCCAGTATCAATAGATGATACTCGAGATCTGTGGAGGTGCGACTGCACCCTGTGTGACGGGAGATGTCTCCCGTGGACACGATCTCCTACAACAAAGATCTAATATCATCTAAGACTTCTTCAAGAGTTCCAAATGAGGTGAAGCTGTTGATTTAGGCGGCCGTTGTCTTCAATATCAATGTAATTTGATGTTGAGTGGCTTGAAATGAACACATAATCTCTAGCTAATCGCCGCAGAATTTAGCCGACACGAGATGAGCTCTCTGCTGGGCCAGGTTCTTATTCAAGATTTTTTTTTTATAGGGTTTTCTAAGTATTATTAACTCATCAAAATTAGGGACTTGAATTGAACTAATCAAAACAAGGTATTTAGCCTAGATCTATTTTTTTACTAGACGAAATAGAAACAATGGAGAAATAGAAACAACTCTGACATAGCTGCAGATATAAACTGCAGCGGTATGCAGTTTTAGGGTACTCAGAGGGATTTAAATACCGGAAGACCAAAACTCTCCCAGCATTTAATGTTTCAAGAATCAGGGCTGAGATTTTTCAACAATTAAGGCAACCATTTAGAAAACCTGTACATCTTTCTTTAATTATGGAGGACTAGTTTACATTTATTAAGCAGTTTATGAGCTCCGAGGTACTACGAAGTTGTTTATAACAATAATAACCTTGGGTTGTGAAGTTTCTAATCCCATAAACTGTAAATTAAATGTAAACAAAGCCGCCATGATTAATGAAAGATGTACAGATATCGTAAGTGGTCGCGTAAATGTTGGACGAATCCTTGCCTAGGCTCACCTAGGACAGTTTCTTAGCAATTCTCCATTTACTAATTATGGAGACTTGATTCTCATCTCGAGCTACGTTAATCTTATTGCTGCTATTTGGGGCAATGATACAAAGGCAATGTCCTAATAACCTGCGAGGATGTTTCCCTAATCGCTTAATTAACCTGCACGATTAGCATCATGTGAAGAGCAACGATGGAAAAATCGTCCAATCCTACACTGAAGCTTGAGGAAAGATGACTGTCGTGTATGGAGATTTAAGGAAAAGCAGTGAACATACATGCTTGGAGAGTTAATTAAGGCAAGTACTATACATGTTGGGATGTGGACAAATAACTAATGTAGATGGACGGTTGAGAAACAATGACTACCAATAATGGATGCTTGAGAAAGGATAACTACTAAGTGCAAAAAATGAACACTAAATATGTCACCTGCGGCACAAGGCGGCGAGGAGGTCCAGCACGAAAAGGAAGGAAAGGCTACTATCACATGATATGCTTAATATGGAAAGGCAAGTCCACTGTTATTTAAAAATAAGGCACGGTTACATAGGGAGCTGCAATAATGGAAGCAGTAATGATAAACTGTCTTTAACCAATGTGTTAATGAACCCATAAGAGATAAGGGGTAATGATTAACCAGCCAGATATAACCGGTACTCAATTAGAATGAATAAGACAAAATTTAACACCAACTATGGATTCAAGAACTATAAATCTTTTCCTCGCAAACCTGACAGAATTCTTTTCCCGAGCGACAGAGTTCAGACAGGACATTAGCGTGACAGACTGCAGATTTATGGACAGTCGGAAAGCCTCCAAACCGGTACTCCACATCCAGCAATTGAGCAAGTTGAAAACAAGAGATAAAAGTGACACAGAAGGAGCTCAAGTGGATGCATAAGTACGCAAGCAACAGAAGATAGTATCAAGTAAGGTTTGAGATTTCAGACAAGCGAAATTCCTGATCAATGTGAATTATATCCCAGAGGGAATAGACTCCTACCTCTGTATTATTTGTTGACGTAAAAAATATGAGGAATAATAGAATGGAAACAAATACAGGATGACCTGGAAGAACAAAGAATTGCAAAGTAATGAAGCTGAGATCTGGGAATAGAACGGCAGACATTAGGATAAATTGGATGGAAAACATTCCTCTAATCGGACAGAAAAATACTCAGGGTTTGTATCATATCCAACCTGTCCCCCGAAGCCAACATGAACAGGATAGCACTAGCTGTATACGCCAGGTTAGAAGCTTTGGAAAATCAAGAGGTATGCCTCAATAAAAACCCCCAAGCACAGCTATGTAAGTACAACCAGACGAGCACAAGAGCGCCACCCACACCCACTACCGCCTCATTTGAAACACCCACCATAACTCTCATCCAAAACCCTTATAAAGAAGGTAAATAACACGCCATAAAAGGGGAACTAACATAATTAACATGACCGACCGCCCATTACCCATTAAGGGCCGAACTATGCATTATCTATTAGAAGAGTTACTCAGAGGCGACTCACTGACCGCCTAACTACCTGCTTAATATTCATGGGTATTTAAATTATTGTCCAACGCCGGAGCCGCTACAGGTTCGGGCAGGTGTGGAGGCTGGGTGTTGGTTGTCAAGGTTGTAGAGGAGGTAGTTTTGTTGTGGTGGTCAATTTATGGTGGCCACTAGGTGCTTGGCTGATTAAAATACATGTCTGGCGCAGTAACACAGTGTGGATGTTAACTGTGTCGTAGGAATTTATGTTGTGATGGTAAAGTTATGTTGGTCATGATGTAGCTGTGGCTGTTGTCCAGAGTTAATGTAGTTGTCGTTTTGGTGTTTGTAGATATTTAATGACTATAATGATGCTGTTATGGTGATGAGTGTGCAGTTATTGTGTTTGTGAGGGTGGAGCCTCGGCTCTTTAGCACCGCTTTTCAACCTTCAATCAACTGGTATACAGGTTTCCGACCCTATCGGGTTCTACCGTTAATTCTTTTGAAATTGTATAGGGAGTCTGCCTTCCCCACTTCATTTCATAATGTGTTCCTCTTAGTGTCTATGGTTTACATGAGTACTCAGTTTCTTGTAACACCCATCGTAAATAACGTTCTTGTTTGCCGTATTAATTTCCATGAGAAAATTGAATATGGTAATCATGCCTTTCTTAACTCTTCTGTATTCCAGCATTGTGAGGTTCGATTCCTTTAAATTTCCCTCCTGTCATACCTCTAAATCTGAGACTATTCTGGTGGCATACCACTTTACTTGCTCCAACTTAAGTTTTGTGTGGTATGATAATAACTCAATGTTCACATAATTCATGGAATATGTGGCGCCTGCACATATCTGGCATTTGTAGTATATAACGTCATGAATTATTAATTATGTATTCACATTTGTAATGGCAATTCGTGTGTTCACTAATCTAGAATATGAAATTTAATGTGATTTTAGAGAGATGATTTTTTTGGGTATACCAACCCCCGATGTCCAATTTTTTATACCAACACCCCGAAAGTCCGATTACCTGTCCGATTTCCGCGGTAGCAATAGGAATACCCCATCGCACCTTTCCTTTCTTTAACTGGTAACCCCATGAATGATCACGTTCTCTATAACACTCGTCAGTTTCATTTCCGTTCTTGCGATGAGTGGTAGTTTTTCTGCCACTCATTCTTGTAGTTCAAACCTCTTATTAGTAATTCCGCCTGCATTTGTGCATATAGGTTTAATGCTACTCATCTCAATTAGGCTACTTTGGGTTTGCACGGGTAGTAGTAGTATTTCCGGTTGATTCGAAAGCCATCGTGAGAGGGGGGGAAGGTGTACTCACCTATTTGTGCTTGCGGGGGTTAAGCTTTGGCTCTTTGGTCCCGCCTCTCAACTGTCAATCAACTGGTGTACAGATTCCTGAGCCTACTGGGCTCTATCATATCTACATTTGAAACTGTGTATGGAGTCAGCCTCCACCACATCACTGCCACATGTGCTAGTGATGGTGTATGGTGGGTTGAGTACTATGTGGTTATGTTGCGTGGTGGGGTTGAATAGTATGTCGAGGGTTGATTTACCATGCGGTAGTTGTGGCGTGCAATGGGTACAGTACTATGTGGTGGTTGTGGTGTGTGGTGAGTAAAGCAATGTGTGTGTTGGTTGTGGTTGGAAATCTAAGAGCCCATCCGTATTGGGTGGAATTCCTCCAATTATCCACTACTTGAAAATATAGCATCTCTCTCTTCCCTATTTGGCACACAATCTTTCTCTACTTTGTTTAAACATTCTGAAAGTCACTATAAAAATAATCCTACAACTATACGTATGAATATTATACATACATGGTCTCTCAGTGTCAGGTACGGGAACCCACAACTGTTGTTAAACTCATAGGAAACTATTAACTATTAGGTAAACAGAGACATCTGATAGAGAGAGAGAGAGAGAGAGAGAGAGAGAGAGAGAGAGAGAGAGAGAGAGAGAGAGAGAGAGAGAGAGAGAGAGAGAGAGAGAGAGCATCGAACCCCAACCCCATCCGCCAAAAAAAATATCTCCCACCTTTCGAATAATTGCATACAGAACAAACACGCTGTATAATTTAGATCACACGATTGCATGTTGCATGTACTTTGATTTAAATTAATTGGCAATGCTCCGCAGGCGAAGGGTGCGTTGGTAATGACTTAATAATATAATTACGGCAAATTACAGCAATTAAATATGGTAATGAGATGGTAATTATCAGCCGAGCGTGGGTTGAGTGGAAACACTTGAGGGGCAGGTTTTGAGGATATATTTTTATTGAATCAAGTGCTCAGAATAAATCATTGCATATTTTATTATGGGGAAAATGTACGTAAATTTATATTGTATCTTAAGAGATTAGAAATGCTTATCATCCTTATACGAGGCATTTACACTTAGACATATTAAATGCATTATTTTATTGCATGCCTACTATTGAGATTTGAGGAAATAGAGAATTACAAAGCTAGCACAATTATAAAGACATAATAGTACACTGCTAATATATAATTCGTAATATCATTATTATTCTTATTGTGTTGTCTTAAAGATTTCCTCTCTCTCTATGGAAGAAATATTGTAGTATGTAAAAGTCCAGAACTTGCAAAGATAACAAAAAAATCAGGAAAAATAGCTTGTATAACACCAAAAATATTAAAGGTAATCAGTCATTCACTGTTACCATGATGTGGCTTACCAACAAAAGGATGCAGTGGTCCAACGTTACCATCATGTGGTTACACTACATAAGTATGCAGTAGTCCAGCGTTATCCTCATGTGGTGACAACATATATGAGTGACCTCTATCCCCCCTGGCGCATGGCGAGCCTCTGGTCGGTTGAGCGAGATGGAATAATGGTAACAAGCTCGTTAGGATGTTTACTAATAATATATTACCATAAAGAGACGACCAAAAGATATGTCCGCAAGTTGAGGGGCTTTAGTTCTACTACTTGTAATTATACTAATTAGGCTGCAGGCGATGAGTCATAATAACGTGGCTGAAGTATGTTGACCAATCATTTTCTAGTGTGTGGATTGGTTAACTAATTAGGCTGTTGTGTAGGGTGCTGAGTTTACTAAGTGTGACCCCCTAGCACACACCCATCCCACTGATGTGAGAAACAATGTAGCTGTGAGTGCACTTGCATTTATATATGATCGCCACCCATACATTTCTATAACAGTGGTTGGATCTATCAAATGGTCACATTACAGCCGCATTATTCAAGAAATACGTACTTACATTACATCATTAAAGACAGCATCCTCATTGATATAGCACTCAACAAATCATTAAACGAAGTCGAGATGATGGAAATGCCAGAGAAAAGCGTTTCAGATTACTTAATAAAATCCTTAGATGGTTTCACGAGGGACGGTCAATGAAAAATGACCCCAGTTACCTGACACATAAGAGTCTAAATTACACCTTACCTCACCTAGGGGAATCTACCTGCTCCTCAGCCTCCACACCCATGATGAAAGTCCATTTACAACATAGTCAAGCCAATTTAATTGATAAAACTCGACATAGAATTAATAACAAGAGACAGATATGATAATTTCCTTAAGTGCCGTGGTAAGATTTCTATGTTATTGGTTCTAGATTGAGCATTTCTCAGTAATATGGCGCCGCATCACGATAGGAGAGGCGGAGATAATAAAGGCAATAAAATCAAGGAGGGGTTTTGACCAGTGGTTATAATTCCGCGTTACGCAAACGTGTAGTTACACTTGTTAAAGCGTATCCACCGAGACGGAAATTGTCTTCGTTTCTAATGATATTTTGTTTTTGTTTAATAAGAAACGTGATCCAATACCAGAGGAAAGATTTAACCAAAAATAAGGAAACATTGCGTTAACTCGAACAATGTGTGAGAGAGAGAGAGAGAGAGAGAGAGAGAGAGAGAGAGAGAGAGAGAGAGAGAGAGAGAGAGAGAGAGAGAGAGAGAGAGAGAGAGAGAGAGAGAGAGAGAGAAATACTTGCAGTCTTCCACGCGTGATTTTACAAGTGTACTATTGTACACTTCGACAATACCATCTTCGACATGTTCTCAAAACCATCTAGAACAATTTATAAATATGCGTTTACCACCTATTTACTTCCCTCCCTAAATTGTATACAAAATTTAATTGTGTCCAAAGAATATATTTTAAAGATACCTTTAAAGTCTGTAAATACAAAGTTCTTTTCTATTTATAGATTTAGTAATCTTTATTATTAATGTGAACAGACTTCTACCAGAACCCGTCCACAAATTTCCTTTGCCCAAAACTGTATCAGTAACCTCTTGTGGAGGTGATCGTAAATACCGACATCGTATTGTGCTCTGCCAATCATACTAGGTTACGATGGTGTGCCCTCTGACTTATCTTCAACTCCTCTTATCTTGTCTGTTGCCAAGTAACGTTCATGTTGAGTCACACGACTCTAGTGAAAGATTAGACCATTTTGCCTTGGCCGATGTTGCTTGTGCGTCTAGAAACAGCGCACCAAAAGCCTTGTTATCACTGATTAATGCAACTTTACCTGTAGCAAACCTAGATTCAGTGCTCAACGTGTATAGGAGGCGACAACCCGAGGCGTTTCCTTATGCTAGTTATTAGCATATATTTATGAAGCAATAACCAAGCCTGTGCAGCTCTTGGCATCAATTACTGTGCAGTCCTGAGTCTTATTTTAAGGTTCTTTGAAGTAATGTTCAGATATAATGGATGCAGTAGCGAGGGTGAGGCACGTTGTGGCGAGCTGTGGTACGCTCGAGTAGAGAACAGAGAAGTGGGGAGAAGGGGAATGTTGACAGGGGGGAAGTGTGGACAGATGAGTAGAGGGCAGGAGGTGCGGATACACGAGAAGAGGGCAGAAGTGTGGATAGATGAGTAGGGGGTAGGGGGGAGTGTAAACAGGTGAGTAAAAGGCAGGGAAGAAGTGTGGATAAATAAGTAGAGGGCAAGAGGATTGTTAATAGACCAGTAGATGCAGGGAGGAGTATTAATAGATAGCTTAACTGGCGGTGGGGGGGGGGGGCAATGCGGACAATTGTGTAGAGGGTAGAGGGAGTGTTGACAGAAGAATAGAGGGCCAAGAGGTGGTGTTGACAGACGAGAGAAGATAGAAGCAGTGTAGGAGAAGAAGCAGAAGCAATCCCCCTATTCTATATGAATATAAAGTAGGGGACGAGAAATGTGTAAATAGTTACGGAAGTGTGGATAACAATGGAGAGAGGAGTAAAGTGTGCACTCAAGACTGGATGTGTCTCAGTCTACTGGAATATTTTGAGGATTAGCAATGGCACATGTCATAACCTCACTTCAAACCCTGTACGAACTTTGCCGAATGCTTAACGTAGATAAAACTAGGCATAATCAAGGCACAATGTATTTAATATAATGTTAACTATTTAAAGGGCAGACAAATTTTTCAAGAATTAATTGAATATAAACAAAATAGCTGTGGCTTTCGGCCAAAACAGTTCTTACTAGACTTGATACTGTGGTTCTGGCTATTAGGTAAGATATTATACACATGGAGGTGTACCGTAAGCCTGGAAGCATCACTCCTGACCATTCACCGCGTGATAGCTACTGGATAACTTGCCTGTGTCTGTATATCAATCATAATATAATGGAGGGCACATTGAACACAGTCTGCATATAAAATAATAAACAAAGAAAATTGGTTTCATCATTTAGTCCTACCCTTTCAAATTTAGGGACACCCTGTGTATGTACTCACCTATTTGTACTCACCAATTTGTGCTTGCGGGGGTTGAGCTCTGGCTCTTTGGTCCCGCCTCTCAACAGTCAATCAACTGAGGTACTGGTTCCTGAGCCTACTGGGCTTTATAATATCTATATTTGAAACTGTGTATGGAGTTAGCCTCCACCACATCACTGCCTAATGCATTTCACCTGTTAACTACTCTGACACTGAAAAAGTTCTTTCTAACGTCCCTGTGGCTCATGTGGGTACTCAGTTTCCACCTGTGTCCCCTTGTTCGCGTACCACCCGTGTGTGTGTACTCACCTGGTTGTACTCACCTAGTTGTGCCTGCAGGATCGAGCATTGACTCTTGGATCCCGCCTTTCGAGCATCGGTTGTTTACAGCAATGACTCCTGTCCCATTTCCCTATCATACCTGGTTTTAAAA